GGGCCATTACATGGAGTAGTAAAAAGAAATCATGCATATCCTTATCCACCATGGAACCAAAATGTGTGGCTTGTTATACTACTGTACACGAAGTGGTTTGGTTAAGAAGGTTCTTTCAACATCTAGGAGTTGTCACAAATACCTTGGGCCCAGTGAAGATTCATTGTGATAGCATGGTTGCATTAGCTTATGCTAAGGATCCTAAGTATAATGGAAGAACCAAACACATAGACCTAAGATATTATTACATTAGAGACATGATTGCACAAAAAGAAGTAATCTTGAACCACATACCTACAACTCAGATGGTTGTAGACCCCTAACTAAGCTTATAACAAGAGATGTGTATATGACTCATGTTAGAACTCTAGGACTTCATAGGTATTGATTATGTGTTAGAGATTGTATGGATCACATACTCATTTGTGTTGACATTTTTTGGGATATTAATACATGGTTTTAATTGCAATTAAATGTTATATTGCTTCATTACCTTAATATTTGAGAAAGCACACACATTAAGTTTGTCAGCGGGCGTGATTGGCTCACTCACACTAGCAATCGCCTTTGGCGCTTGATATGGCAAGCAAAGATGAAATATTCTAGCATACAATATCGCTCTGTTTTGTATACAGAATGCGATCTGACATTTGAGAATCAATAATGGACACAACTCCATGTTCATTATGCTTGTGTTTGTTGATTAGCCAGATGCGAGATCTTAATTTGGCATCTTTGGAGGGCGAGCAAATAGAGAACTCGGGTTAGACGCTTGTAGAACGACTAGACTTAGATCAATACGGTGTTTGAGTATGATATATGCTCTCATTAGGATCGAGACACTCCACCGTAGCATGTATTTCATACTACATCTACTTGGCGACAATTAAGGAGGTGAAGGAATGGATCCCTGCTTCCTCACTGTGTGAGCCCTCTGAGTCATTTTTACATGACCGGGTTATTTTGTTTAACCAAACATTCTATGTACTCTCTGACTTTTGATTATGTCACAAAGTGAAAGAATTAATACTCAGTTACTTTGACATGTTACTTACGGCCATGAGTGATTCGGCCTTCCGGGACATTGCTGGAAAAGTGGTTAATTTTGAACTAAGTGACATAAGGGAAAAAGGAAGACCATTTGGAACATCCTGCGATATATTCATTGTCAACAACCTTGGACGCTAGTTTAGATAATGACAAAGTGTGAATGTATAGGCGAAAGCTTCGAGGGGTTATGCATGCTCTTATATTGTGACGGTTTAGAGATGCTTGAACCGGTGTATCCGAATGGATCTAGAGTACTTGAGATACCATTTTCATTTTTTTTAGGGTTGATGTCTCTATGTTGGCTCTATAGAGTTTCTAGTGTAGGGCTCCCAAATTACAGGTGTGCTCAGCAGTCGCACGACGGTCCATTAGCCTGTATGAATTTATGTTGGTGTATATAATGGATTGAGAGAGATGACAATGTCGTGCCACCACGTGCGAGTGAGAGATGTTATATATTGGTTGGGTAGGGATAACTCAAGGTAATTTAAGGTCTAAAATAGTAATACTAAATGAGGTTTTTTTACTTTTAGTATTATTTAAAAAAATTATTTTTAATTTTTTTTAAGTGAGAGAGGACGATGTGATATTTTATTTTTGTTTTTTAAGAGAGAGAGAGAGAGAGAGAGAATGAATGTTAGTAAATATGAGTTGACTTTTGAATATTTATTTATTTTTTTTTTAAATTTTTGATTTTTGAGTTTCTAATGTTATGAATTGAATTGTAGGATCAAATTATTGAAATTAGAATTTTTTTATTGGGCTTAAATTTTTTGGGGAGTTTGTGGAAGGCCTAAAATTTTCCTGGATTTAATTTTTTATGTGGACTAGTTATGTATTTGAAATTACAGGGCCTTTCAAAAATTTGGGGCATAAAGCCCACACTTTTTTTTAATACAGTTGGGTCGGTCCTGTAGTTGGGTCATGAACCTAAATCGGGCGCCCATGGTGGGTCGACCCAAATTAAAGAATGTCCAAAGGGCAATGTCTTTTGGACGTATCTTTTACCACAAAAAATACATGTCTATTAAATATTAATAGACATGTCCTTATCGGATGTGTCTCTTAATGACACCTATTGGTTGTCTATATAAACTCAAGACAATCCAATAGATGAGATATCTTTGGTAAATAATCAGACGTTAAAGTCTCCTACTATATATCTCTCTCTCTCCCTACATAACGTTGAAAGACTTTTGTGCTGTGGAAACTCGGTGTTGATTCCTATTGTGTAACAACACCATACTGCTCTAGCAATCGAAGAAAAGACAATTTTCAGATTCTAAAGTATGTGGAACATCCTCAAACTGTTTTTAGGATTAAAGCAAATAAGGTATATCTTTTATTCTATGCTTCTGCAATATGTATCCGATTCCCAACAAAAAGTACATTATTTTTATTTTAGCTATTAAATTTTTCAATACACACTCCAACAGATTTTATATATTTTAATTACTACTTTTAAATATTAATTTTTATATTTTGTACATTTGTTGGAAATGTTGGAGGGAGAGAAAAAGAATGGAGAGAAAGACAAATAATGGACAAGAGAGATGAGAAAGAACAAGAAGAGAGAGAATATATTATGAACTATTTATTCATAATTATATTTTACCTACTGTTGGAAAATAATGTTTATCTTTAAATAACTAAATTTTAATTATTTTGAAGTTTTAACCATTCTCTTGAAAATACTCTAATGCATGAATGTTTTCCAATGGTTTATGCAGAATCGCTACCTAAACATGATAGCCCATCTATCCAATGCTCCACTAGGAGAGTCAGAGGCTGCCGTGGGAGTTGGAAGAGAAAGGGGCAGAATAAGCAGAGAGCCGAGGGAAAACCATGCGATAAACCTAACATTGTCACCGGAGCCAATGTGCAGGTAACACACTATAACNAGTTGGAAGAGAAAGGGGCAGAATAAGCAGAGAGCCGAGGGAAAACCATGCGATAAACCTAACATTGTCACCGGAGCCAATGTGCAGGTAACACACTATAACTCATCTCTCATTATGTGGGTTTGGTGTATCACTTATGCTAGGCCTGCTTTAGGCGGGCTTTTTGTGTCGTAACTACTAGCTCCAAAGGTCAGGCTGAGGAGTCAAACCCCCATATGTGCATTACGCCTTTCAATAGATCGAAATTTAAATCAAATCTCATCAGTTGATCAATGTTATTAAGATATATGATAACATTGGGTGATTATTTATTGAAATTAGTTGATATTACGATATAATTTATTAAAAGTTGGCTCATTAAATTATTCAAGCGGATTGAATTTTTAGATCAGATTTGTCATTCTGCATGGAATCGAATGTGAATTATAAAATTAAAATTTGACGGATAATTAAATTGGATGTTGATCAGAGTCTGTAAATCGGATTTAGATTTGAATAAGTGGAAATCTAATTTGTTAACTGGTGTACTTGACATCTTATGAATACTAAATGCCGGCACAATTGATATTATGTGCGACTAAATACAAGTTTCCTAATGCTCTCTATGCGTATATATAATATATGTTTGTTGGGAGAAATTTGCAAATTACATCGAGGTGGAACTTAAGGAAGTGAAGCTGAGAGAAGGCTACTATGTGATGGTACCTGTGAAAGCTGTGGAACTAGTGGATGAAAACACCATCTGTGTTGCTGCTATCTTGGGTTCAACTTTCAATGGAGAATTCCAAGATGTCAAGCTCTTGAATGATCTTTTTCTTGAAAAGAACAAGCAAACTAGGTACTCAAGAGTTTTAAGAATCACTTACAGCTCAGTGTTGGGAATCTTCAAATTTTCAATTATATGTAATAAGTTATCTATCTCTGTTTTGTTCAATTTTGCAGGTGGGATACCCCAATTCATGTGGATGCAGCTAGTGGTGGATTCATTGCACCATTTCTCTATCCAGAGCTCGAGTGGGATTTTCGACTCCCATAGGTGAATAGCATCAATGTTATTGAGCATAAATATGGTCTTGTGCATGCTGGATTTGGGTGGGTGATTTGGAGGAGCGAGGAACTTATCTTTTACATTAACTACCTTGGAGACGATCAACCTACTTTCATCCTCAATTTCTCTAAAGGTGACTAAAAACACATATAATTTTGTGTTTTTAAATCATGACACACTTGATTTAGCTTCTTAACGTCATCTTTCCACCATTTTTAGGTTCAAGCCAAGTCATTGCTCAGTATTATCAACTAATTCGCTTGGGTTATGAGGTGAGAGTCTACTGAGATGCATAAGAAAATCCAAGGGTAAATTATATTGACCCGTTCAATTATGGCATCGATCTACCTTCACACCTTCAATTATGAATTNGGTGAGAGTCTACTGAGATGCATAAGAAAATCCAAGGGTAAATTATATTGACCCGTTGAATTATGGCATCGATCTACCTTCACACCTTCAATTATGAATTTTTTCTTATTGTCTCATCACTTATTTGCATGGTTTTCATGTTGTCTCAAAACCAGACGTCTTTGACTAAAAATGTCCACATTTGTAGTTAAATAGGTGTTTCCAATGTCTACAATATGAGTATTGTAAAACCAATAACCATAGTTGGATGGATGTGCAATATGATATAGTGGTGTGGGCAATGTGAAACCAATAATCGTTGGTGGAGACACATAAAGAAGGTAATATTGAAGAGGATGTAATATAGGAGACTTAGTTGGAGGGATCAAAGTGTAATTCTCTCAAAATTCAATTTAACGTGTGTAGCTGCATATTGAGCTTATTATCATAATTAACTGGTTGTGGTAAAAATATTTTGTTCTTAGGGATACCAAAATGTTGTGGAAAATTGTGGGGACATCGCTCTCGTGCTGAAACGAGGATTGGAGACGACAGGCCGATTCAACATTGTGTCCAAGGGCAATGGTGTTCCGGTGGTTGCCTTCTCTCTTAAGGAGAAGAGTCGGTACAACAAGTTTGACGTGTCAGATATGCTGCGTAGTTTTCAGTGGATTGTGCCTGCCTACACCATGCCATCGGATGCTCAACATGTGATAGTGCTTCGGGATGTCGTGAGGGAAGATTTCTCATGCACCCTAGCCGAGCGCCTAGGGGATGATATCACAAAGGTCCTCCATAAATTGGATACCCTCCCTGCCAAAATAAGTGCCAATATGATGTCCGGTCATCAAAAAGTGAAAAATGGCACCGTGGTGAAGAAAACAACACTTGAGACACAGAGAGAAATAACTGATGCTTGGAAGAAATTTGTCATGGATAGGAAAACCAAAGTAATTTGCTAGGACTTTGATGGAAAGACTCTCTCTTTCTTTTAACTTCGTTAGTGTTCTAATTCTAAACAGGAATTGTGTTGCCTCTTTCTTGCAAATTACGAGAAACTCTATTTCGCTTTGGATTGAAGACGTTCTGCTAATGACTTCTACTTCTTCCTCCAAAAATAGATATTATCGTTTCTATCAGCATGCTAAATAGCTACAAGCATGTTATTATTGTGAGGAAAAATAGGAGCTCTAGACAGTATTCTTGTTTCTCGCAAAGAAAAAATTTGAGAGGATATGAAAAATTATAACAAAAAACGAAGAGAAAAACCTATTGTCATTAATGACAAGGAAAAGAAAATATAAATTGCAACGCTTTTATGCTGATAAAAATCGTCCCATGGTTGTTGTGGTAGTTGTGCAACTAGCATTAATTATTTGACTAAAGTAGATTTTAGTAATTAAAACTTTTTTTAGTCGACTTTGAGTTTAAATTAAAGTGAGATCAACTCATTGTTTCAAGTAAAATTTCGTGTGCTCATGTTCTACTCCGTACAAGAACAACNTTTAGTAATTAAAACTTTTTTTAGTCGACTTTGAGTTTAAATTAAAGTGAGATCAACTCATTGTTTCAAGTAAAATTTCGTGTGCTCATGTTCTACTCCGTACAAGAACAACATAATATATTAACTTACTCAAATCATGTAAGAGATAAATGATAAAATAGGCTTCAAAGTCACCTACTTGAAATGTAAAAATAGAGGATGGACAATACAGGATTTGACACCAATTTCACATTAGTTGGGCAAAAAATTTTACATGTGCATATATGTATCAAGTTTGTATTATGAGTTGGGCCCTAAGAAGTACCACACTTTTGTTAGCAGAGCGAACACCTATACGAGCTTTGGTTCAATAACATGAGCGCATGTTGCCAACGCCTGCCCTAACCCAGCTCGAGTGTGGATGCGGACTAAACCTTATTTTTTTTAGAGAAAATTCGTTTAACTAATTTGATCCAAAATTCTTAACCCAAATTTTATTTTTTGCCTATTGGAATTCAAATTTCGCACTGGTTAAAATTTGAATTCAAATTCATATCTATTCATTATTGGGTAGACATCAATGATGTCTTCTGTGTTGTATCTATTCGTATGGTAGCTGTTAGAAATAGTCACCGTTATGTCTATAAATAATCCAAACTCATTAGCATTCCGCACAAATTACATTACAAATTATGGCAGTCATCACATTCATAAATTTGTCATTCGTAGTCTACAGTTTCTGAGAATACAACACACAATTCTAATTCGCTCGACAATTGAATTAGAGTACTTCTTTCAATTGCATGAAAATCATTGTATCCTAAAATGCGGACGCTGAGATTTTCATAAGCACCAAGTGTGCGGGCGAAATCTGTCTTAAGGGCATACTGTCAAACACTAGCCTTAATCTACAAAATTTAATCACAGTTCCTGACTTGTAAATGGGTCAGTTTGTTTAATTATATATTTACATGCTACTATTTTGTTTATTCTAAATTGCATTATACAAATAAGAGATTTCAATAAGTGATTTTGCCACATTTGAAAAATGCACCCAACATTAACGATGTTGCGAAGTATTGTATTAGTTTCTTCTTATCTCAATTAATATTGAATTTCTCATATTCTCTTTTAAATTATAGTATTTCATTTTCAAACTGGTGTTGAAACTTTGTACCAAAAAAAAAAAAGTTTTTGTTGTCACAACATGAAACCAAATAACAAAGTTAAAGAGGCAATTTGAAACCTTTTATAAGAGCATCTTCAAACCTAATTCAAATTTAGGCTCAAATTTGAGTAAAAACTTGGTTTGATATAAAATACTTCAATGGGCAAACTCAATTATCTACTTAAATCTTTTAAAAAATTCTCTTATTTTTCCAAAACTCATTTTTTTGTATCATTCAAATTATGATATTTGATAAAATAAATGAAACTTTCATATCTCTCCACAAATTGATAATTCAAAAAAAAAATGAATATGTATACAATACTACATGGGAATAAATAAACCACTATAGAATTCTAAGATTGTTCTAATCCTTTATCAGTTTTTATAAATCCAGAGAAAGAAAAAGAAAAAGAAAAAAAATATAACTATTTTGATATGGGCTTGGTCTGAAGAACATAAAAACATACTTGGTCTGAAGAACATAAAAACATACATTTTTAATAAAAATGGAAGATTGACGAAATAAAATGATTAATTTTCTAAATTTATGGGTAGTGAAGGCTTAAAATTTCAAGAAGAATTGGTGGTCTGAAATTATACTACCGATAATGTTTAACTTGAAAAAAATCAAAGAAAACTTTGATAGGTAGGCTTAGGGTTTGTATAGTATAAAAGATATGTGAAATTAGTGTTTTAAAAAATAAAAGACATCAAGAAGATGGAAGATAAAAAGGATAAAACTTATCTACAGGCCTTCAAATGATTTGTGAAAGTTTCAGTGGTGTTTAGTGATAGAAGCAGTGTAATAAAGAGAGGCAAGAAGAGGCAGATAACAAGTCATCGAATAAATCTTTTAGTTTTGGATAGGTTAAAAAGTTACCATTAGAAATTTAGTATAGAATTTGAATCTACTTTAATTTGGGTCTAGAATAAGTTCGATTTTCATTTGATATATGTTTGAGTCTAAGGTATGAGAAATTTTTTTTGGCCATTTTGACTCAAATTTATATTTGAGTCAAGATTGGAGATGCTCTAATATAAAACAAGGGTATTTCAACAAGCACATCTTATAGTCTCAAATACACTAATTCAACGATCACGAAATTAACATTTTATCCGTTAATATTTTCCCCCAATTCAGTCACATCCAATTTTCGCTCTTTTTATGGGTCAGGAAAAAAGGAAATTATATTACTATAAAAAACAGAAACTCGAAAAAAATAAAAGATCTACAGACTATAAGCCAGAGTTTTAACCGACTCCTACTCTTCTCTCTGAGGCGATTACTCCTTGAAGGCTCATCGGTGGGTTCTTAATCCACTGATCTGGCAGAACTCATATCCCCAAATGTCTCGTTGAATTTGCTCAATCCCCTGGATTGTTGCCTCTGGTCCTTCATTATGGAGTCGATGGTGATCTTCGAGTCGGACTCCACAACAACTGCTTTGTATCCCTTCACTACTGTTATTCTGTACACTCTCCGGATCGCTTCTGCCTCTGTTGCAAGTGGCTAAGATGCGCACAATGAATCAACTTCCCTATGGATTCTCTCTCTCATCTTCACTCAATGTCAGCCACCTTATCTCTCTCTCTCTCTCTATCTTTCTCTCTCTCTCTCTCCCTCTTTCTCTCTCTCTCTCTCTCTGTGTTAGCCATCTCCATCGATTCCACCATCACCCCAGCAACACCGCTACCCACTCTCCTCACTTGGGCAACGCACAACCACCAGCGACCTAACCTCTGGCAGCACTCTTTCGTAGGTCTCTTTATTTCTCTCTCTCTCCATGATCTGCCATCACCACAGCCCCACACCACTATCAGACTCACCACCCCTCCATCCTCTCCCACCACCATCACACCAACCTTAGATTTAGGGCTTATTTCACAAACCTCCTCTTTGCAACACATCCCACCCATACCCTCTCTCTCTTAACAAACCCCCCAAGCTCTCCCCCTCTAGCGACAGTCTAGCGAACCACTAAGGTTAGTCTCTTTCTCTCCCCTTCTTCTCTTTCCTTCTCTCCCTCTCTCTCTCTTCTCTACTTTCACTTCTTTGCGCAANATAGTCTAGCGAACCACTAATGTTAGTCTCTTTCTCTCCCCTTCTTCTCTTTCCTTCTCTCTCTCTCTCTTTTCTCTACTTTCACTTCTTTGCGCAAATCCAGCGACAGCCACACACTCACACGCACAAATTATTTCAAAATTAGGGCTGTTAATTGGAGTGAATTGATGTTGTTAATTTGTAGTTAATAGGGTTGTTAATTCTCTCACCCCTTCGCTTCTCTCTATATGTCTCTCCCTTTCTATCTTCATTTTTGTATGGACACACACACACACGATACACACACATACAAACACTGTCAGATTCACACACCCTCTCTCCTCTCCTCTCTTCCATCCTCCTTTTCACTCTCTATGCTTTGTTAATTTGGTGTTGAATTGTTGTTAATCACAACACATATGAAATGTTTGTTAAACTGCCTGTGAGAAATATTTTATACTCTTTTGATTGATTCAAATTTTTGTTGGTATAATGAGTTGAATTTATGTTTCTCTTTCTTGGGTTTTGTTTGATAACTAATGACCTACGACATTCATTTGCTCTAAGTAAACATTTTTTGATTTTGTAACTCTAGGACCCAACCCAAAGTTCCATTGCACACAGAGACGGTTGTTAGCGATTTTTGCTTTTCTCGATTTAGTCTTGCTGAATTTTTTTTTCTTGATAATGTGCACTATATATCTTGGTTTTATAAAATTAGGGATTTCGCTTATGCTCCCATCAAATTTCTTCAATGGCCTATTGAAGAAATATAATTCTTGATATACGTACATTTATTTTTGTTTTTTGATTTAGTTACTTGGTATGCATAAGAAGTATTTGTTTAATGTTTTCCAAGATGAGCATTTCCCACTAGTGTGTGTGTGTGTGTTTGTTATATGCAAATATTGTCATTTAGGTCTTTTAGTGTAGGCATTTGGTTTGATTTGGCATTCTTTTTGTGGTTTATTCAATTACTCAAGTCAAAAAAGAATACCAACGAGTCTTTGGTCCAATGACACTTCTTATCTTGTGAATGTTCTGTCTTCTTGAAGTCAAAGGTTCAAGCCCCCTTTTACCCCCAAAAAAAAAAATAAAAAAGAATAATAGTAGTGGTAATTTGGTGGGCATTGACTAAAATTTCTCATGGTTATAGACATTTTTTGAAATTTAGTGCAATTTGTTTCCCTTGTTTTTATTTATTTATTGGTGATTAGCTTGATTTTGAATTTTTTTATGTTTTTGGTGTAATTGGTTTCACTTTATTTTTTTTTTCTTGGTGATTAGCTTGATTTCGAATATCTACAACCTGAAAAAAAAAATTTAGCATTCAAAAATTT